TCATAAATCAGTGGCTAAAACGTGCACCAGGTCATGCATAACGGTTGTGCCAGAGGGAAGGACTGATTCCCCGATCAGTATGCAGTTATGCCTGGAGGTGTTCATAAGAGACACAGATGAATCCTGGGATTTTTCCTGTTCTCTTTAACAGAGCTGTGGAAACCAACCAGACAGGTTGTGCCAGATAATCAGAATAATCTCATTATGATAATCACAATTTACTCATTTTCGTTTCAAAGTTACCTTTTAAAAGGGGTTTTCCCTGCCTCCCGTGGGATTCATGGCTGTGCTTGTTTGTAACACAATTAACTGCGGCAAAGATAGTATTGTTAGAAATGAACCAAATCAAACAAAATCATTTGAAACATAGACTATCAGAGTGAGGAAACTACGTGTGATCAGAAATTCAACGCCGTCTATGTATGTACAGAGACGTTTATACATAATGTTTATGAATTACTGCCGCTGTAATGAACCTAGTGTTGAAATTCTACTACGTTAACCTCAACATCAGCAGACCATATCAGGTGTTTTAAACCTCCACAGAAATGAATGTAAAACATTAAAGTGCTGAATGAGTAAAATCGTCCTAACTTACTTTTCTTCCATAATAAGGCTCAAACACACACAGACTAAGAAGTCTACAGATGTTTTTTGCAGAAGTTAATTTGACCATTAAGAACAGGGTAGGGCCTTTTATGAGGTTTACAGTTAGTTTTTGTGAGGTTTTCTCACAGCCTAGTGGAGATTTCTATAGAGGGCTACTAGTCACACACAGAATGGATTGATGGACTGTATAAAAGCCCAGTGTAAACTGTGAATCACGCAAAGCGACTCTTGTGGGGTCATTGAATAAAAAAGTATAGCGCTGGAAATGGACATAATAGGTCCCATTAGAGCTGTAATCATTTAGCGTCTAAAGATTCCTTTTGTAGATGATGGTGCTCAGAGGTTCTGCCTTACTCCAGAGACAAGAAGCTTTGATCGCCACAGAAATTGGCTCAGACTATTTTAGAATACAATATAATACAATAGAATTGAAAAATGCTTAAAGAATAGACATAAAAAGATTTTTTCCTATAATAATGTCTTCATCAAGCATGTCAGATGTTCAAACATCATCATCTGATTCTTCCACTTATAAAGGTACCCATTTAGTTAATTTGACTAAAAAAGCTGGCCATTATGGCCAAAAATACACACACTGGTCGTTGGTAGGTTTAAAGGGTGAACAGTGAAAAAAATCAGGATTTTAAAAAAAAAGTAATTTCAGTGGGTCTGTCAATTAAGGTTTTGTTTATAAATGACATTTTACTCGTCCTTGCCTGTATGCATTAGGTATTTGAGCCGTGGTAATAATTCAGTTTAGAGATAGCTCGCATTAAAACGTGTTTGAGGCATTGACAGCCTCATGTTAATGGCATTTAGACACACTAATGCTCTGTATTGTGCGTGGGGCCCATTTACTAATTCTCAGCAGCCTCAAACTTCTAAGCATCATGAGCTTTTAAACCTCTCATGTCTGCGTACGTATACAAACCACTGTCCACCCCCACCCCCCACCCCCCCAGCAGCCTGATCATCTGAGTTAGTTTTTTTGCCTCCTCCAGCTCAACCATCAAAGGTTGGTTTCTGTTCTTTATATATTCAGCACATCTGAGACCATGATGAGCATTTATCACCAATGCTCCTAAACTCTGATGAGATCAAATATTCTAATGACCAACACTATTGTGCGTCTTAATCCCCAGCCAACGTTTGTGGTCCATACTCCCACTCTACCTCTTTTCTTTTTCTCTTTGGTCGAAAATAAGAAAACACATTAAGCTTATAGAAAATTGGATGGTTGTTGTTTTGCTGTCACAGACAGAAGCATTCAGGGTCAAAGTGGCACCAGCTCTCAGCCCAGGAGTGTCGTATCAAAGGCGGGCTCTTTCCTTTTTATGTTTTTATATGTGGAGGACTATTACCAAATAAGACAACAGGTTTTTGGTCCCTCTTTATCACTGATGTGATGTTGGTTCAGTGAAAAATCTGTTTGTTCCTGCTGATTCCAGAGGTTTTTCCTGAGTAAACTTCTCTGTCTCCTGAATCAGGGGACTCCGGTGATGGGAGGCTTCCCTCACCGACGTCTTTAACGACTGACAAGACCATTTTAATCAGCGATTAGAAGACTAGTTTCAGTGTGGCCCTCTGCATTATGGCATGCCATTAAAACTGCTGTTAAACTGCGAAAACCGCCATCGTAGACATCTTAACATTATGAGATGTTTACTGTCCATCTGTTCATTTTGTTTTTTATTTATCTTTTTTAAGAAGTTACAGTAGCTGGTGCGCGCATTTATTCTTTTCAAACTGATATCGGGCATTCCCTGAGATTCATCACAATTCATTCAGTTGTTATTCTCAGCATAGAATGGTTTGTTTGCTGCTAAGAGGCTAACATTTTTTTTTTTTTTCCCACAATGAACATGATTAAAGATGTTTAATCTCCAAATTACATTTGCATAAAACTCTGTGGCTGGTGACTTCTTTTTGGCAACATACTGAGAATATAAACAGTAGGCTCATCATTTACTCTTTCAAACTAATTAACTAAAGTAATGACTGTTTTATGAATGTGTCCACAATGAGTTTTGTTCTGGAAAAAAGAAGAGGCAAGTTACTAACAACAAGCTTCCACCTCACACAGTACGCACTAAAACACCTTTGATTGTTGTTATGAGCTCTGTCTGACGGATCTTACAAGTTCAACTCTGGAAAGCTAGCTAGAACCACTTCTCAACCATGTGAATAAAAGAGCTGACAGTCTTTTAGCTGGTGTTATTTTAGTTTTTTTCTCTTAATGACGAATTTCCTATCAGTGGGAAACAGACGATGGAGTTGTTGAAATCATAGTCACCAAAGAAAATATTACTTTCCTAAGCATATTCTTCCCATCGGCAGCTATAAAAGGCTGGATTAAAAGATGGTGGTGCTGAGATCAAGTGAAATAGAGCCCAGGGTGTACCACAGTGAACACCAGTTGGAGGCCTCGGAGACATTAGTGTGTAGTAGAAGCGAGAATGATGCAGGCAGGTACGGCATAAGAGAGTGGCTGTAATAGTCTTCAGGAATGTCTGTAGCAAATCAATACAACATCCACAGTCCTGTGAAGAACTGAACCATCTTTTTAAGAGATCCATTTAATCTGAAACAGGATAAATATCTCAAACCTGCAGGACAGCTGCCCACGAGGACCATGAGAGGACGTGAGAGGCTGTAGGTTCCAGTTTACCAAATACCATTGGCTGAAAGTGCAAGTTGAAAAGATATGGGAAGTAAAGGGAACAGTGATGTCAGCAGTAATTTGAGCACTTGGGGCTTTGAGCCACCCCAAACTGGCAAAAGGGCTGAAACGGATCCCATTTCATGATGAGACTTAGCTAGGATGCAGAGCCTCACTTTGCCCCCAAGGTGCCCCGACATGTAAATTTCCTGTGGTTGTACAAGAGGGTCTGAGTCTGTATCGCACATGGTCATGGTCATGTCATGTGAGATTTCCCCAATGTCAGACCTGTTTGTCTTTTTTTTTTTTATTGAGACGTTTTACTACTTCAGGGCCACATCCAGATTCATTTAGGCTTCTCCTGCGACACCACTTGGAGGTCTGTAAGTCATACCTTTCTACACATGATTGTGATTTCTTGTCTCACGGGGCCTGCATTGATTATTTCAAATTAAAAATGCACCTTATGGGAATCTCTTCCACTGTTTTTCAGTCATACAATTTTTTCTAGAAGTGAACTGTAGCACCTGGCTGTTGTGGTAGAAGCTGTTTTCTAATTTTGTCAAAGATTGTTAATTGTACGGCCGATTGAAGGGACAGGCAACATGTGCTTTATAAGACATAAACATCTTGTCATCCAGATATGTCATCTTGACTCAAATCCCTACTTTGCAAATCTCCTTTAATTATCCTGTAGGCGGTGGCATGCTGGATCAGCACTTTTTGCTGTTGAACTGGAGCTTAGTCATTCAGGTTGCTCTTCATGTTTTGTTTGGGCTGAGAATAGTGTGTTTGTATGTCAGCATCACTTGTTATTCTTTATTTAATCAGTGACTGTACATATCAATGTATAACCCATATCCAAGTATTTTCTGGGACTCTCTGCCGATTTAATTTTAAAATGGTTTTGAGCTGCAGCTCCTCTGGACTTCCCTCTGGTCTCTTATCTGTCTCTTACAGGGAGTTAGCCCTTATCTGGAACTTGACAGATGTCACGAGATGTCTCCTATTAGTCAAAGAAAACAGAATTTTAATAAAAAGTTTCTACTTTTTTACAGCACATGCTCCTCTGTTTAAATTGAGCTGAGCTGTACGTGTAATTCCGCTGACTGACTGGCTCTGCTCATAGTTTCTATGATCTGATTAGTTTAAGACTGATGGTCCATCCCCTACTAAGTATTTTCTGAAAGGGTTTGCCCTTTTCCTCATAAAATAACTTCCCAGACGCTTACATCATGCAAACACGAGACTAAGAAAAGTTAAGCACAATGAGCTCAGCGACTGATTCTGTAACAGTGAGTAACGCCATGTTCCTTGTTACCTTTAGTCACAGTATTCATACCATAAAGTTACTCTGTATTTTGGGGTTTAGTCCGTATGCTTTTTCAGTATAATTCCTCATAGACTGACATACTGGGGGCAATTCAAGGCTCAGTGTCAGTCCCAAATACACTTCAACCAATGGAAACATTGTGGATCTTCTGTTTAGAAGCCGGCTACCCTTATTGACCCATTTCTGTACACATTGAGTCTTCTATTATGGACTAGAATATGCAACATGCTCCTATCCAGACATCTTTTACAGGGGAATAAGCGGTTATGATAATGGGGTGGTTGGATGAAAAGTTTATCTATTTGCTTGACACATTTTTAAATGATTGAAATGAGAGGTTGAAAAGTGTCAAAAACTGCAAACTCAAAATGTTCAGGTTCTTAAAGATATTTTCTGAAGTGCCTCCCTTTTTCTTTGTGACCCTCAGGTGGAGCGGATTGTGGACAAGAGGCGAAACAAGAAGGGGAAGTGGGAGTACCTGATTAGGTGGAAAGGTTATGGAAGCAAAGAAGACACTTGGGAACCAGAGCACCACTTGCTGCATTGCGAGGAATTCATTGACCAGTTCAACAGCTTGAGGCGACACTCACACAAGCGTCCCAAAGTCCCAAAGATTTGTAGTGGTCCCCTTATCACCAGCCATCACTCTGCAACAGAAAACTTCCGAGCTCGGTCTGAGGCTCGTAAGAAGAAAAGGACTTTTGGTCCAGCTGTTGGGATGAGAGAAGGAACTGTTCTGGGGATTGCGGGTGGAGCCTCAGAGCCCTCTCAGAAGCAGAGGAAAGTGGGTGTTGGAGCTGGGAAACATGCTTTAGGTGTCCGAATGAGCAAAGCCATGACATACAAGACTCCACCACCTGGTGGATCTCATTTTGTTTCTCCTCTGAGGGTTCCTCATAATGGACTCCCAAATGGAGAGATGGGCCCTTTCATGTACAGGACAGCAGCTAAGTCCCATAGACTGCCTTCAGACAGGGAAGAGGATTTAGGACACAAGGACATCACTGGACCACAGTTCACTACTGAGCTAGGTAAGGTGACGACAAAGGGAAATGGTCGACAGAGATGAGCTAACGATACATTTTCAACAGCTGTAATCTGATAATGAACATAAGAGATATGATCCTGACACACTATGCTATGTAGGATAGCTTTTATTTGATTGAGCAGGGTTATAAATCTCCTTTCGTGTTAAGAGTAAAGAAGAAAAGGAAATGTTCCTCTTTCAAAAAATGCCTTTGTAAATAAGCATTTGTCCAACTTTTGAACAAAATTGATAAGGTCCTGAAGTTAACTTTAGATTAGGGGGAAAAAAGAAACTCTAAAACTGCTGGTCTTTTTATCCTTCATTTAATATGCATCCTAATCTTAATCATGATACTACATTTAATCTCTTTATTTCTCAGTTTAGTTTGTTAGTGCTTACTCAGCCTACCTGTTCGTCACGCCCTTGCAGTCTGGGAAAAAATAAGAACACATTTTAGCTTTGAGATAGCAAAGCCGCCACCGATCATGACCTTCCTTCCTCTGTGGTCCAATAGACTTTTCTGTGCATGCCTTTCCACCTGTGACTGTTGCGTCAATTATATCATATCACGTAGCAGATCCAGATTTAATACCATCACTAGAACTGTGTTAGATAACTTGGAAAATGTCCTATTGAGGTTCTTTACCACTGAGAGCTGATAACGCCAATAAATGTAACTCTTGGGTCACAGTCCATGGTCTGAACCACTAAAGTTAATCATTACTTATGTTGTGAATAAACCATCTTCTATTGTTGAGTAGGATATCCACATCAAAACAATACTTCAGTAACAACATAACATACAGAGTCTGAGAATTCTTGAGTTTTTTCCTTTTTAATTGTAGTTCTTGTTTAATAGATATGATGTTCCAGATGCCAGAAATCTTAACAGTTGTCATTCCTCAGATGTTATAGAATGCAGTGTTCAATAAAATACACAATTGGTTCATAAATGAAAGACTAACTGGCCTTAGATGTTAGGAAATCACATGTCACCAGAAGACTCTGTACTGTTTGGCCCTAAAGAATCCCAAAATAATTTCCCTGCATGGTCTTCAGATAACTAGTGTTTTTTCTCTCTTTCTAACAAAATGGATCCGATGGGTTATAATTTCCCATTCGGTTAGAAAAGCTTCATTATAAAAATAAAGTTGATCACTATGGTTTACTGTAGGCCACAGTTTCCCACCATCACGCTACCTGTCATTGAGGACCATTCTGTTATCATCACTTCTTTTTTTACTTCTACATTTAAACCAATGAGACACAGCAAAGAGTAAACATTTTTTAATGCTACACCATTAAATCACACGAAGCCATTAATCTGGTTAGGTTGGATTCTGCTTTGCTTTAAATGTACATCATGCAGCTTTTTTTTTTTTTACTTCAAAGTGTGGCAGTTCCTGAGGTTTTCCTATTAAGCTAATCGAAGCAACAGCCAATCATGTTTAGCTGTATTTTAAATTGTGGATTGCTGGATTTAGCTTTGATCTAGTCTTGAGTCCCTGAAGTAGAAAGTTTTCAATGATGTCGGAAGGCGTCCGATCCATTTAAGGGCTTGAATTGAACCCAGTGTGTGTTTTATGGCCATACAGCACAATGAGCTTAAAATGGAAACATTATCAGGTTTAATACTGCCACTCTGAGCAAACTTTGTGTCATTGTGTGCATTTAATTTTTTTTCATTTCTCCAGTGGTAAATTTGACCAGTTTTTCAGTCTCTACTCTGCACACATGGTTTTGAGGTGGGACGAAGTGTCCGTGTTCTCACCACTTATTCTTTTTTTATAAAGACCGCCTAGCATGAATGACAGGGTATGTACATGATTTATGCCTTCAGCTCCTGGTACGCTGCATTATTAACCCAGAAGTTACCTAGGATTAAAGGAATAGTGTATTTTTAAATACAGTGTCCTAACTTTGGTTGGAATTATTTCATCATTCTGATTTCTGGCCCCAAAAGCATCATAGCACATTTTGTGTTGAGAAAACTAAGGTTTGCCTGACACATGTATGTTATTGTTTACTCCCGCAGCAGGTCTAGATGTTCCGAGATAAGAGACCTGTGCATTGCATAAGACCTTTTGAGAGTCCCCAGCTGAGTTTTGCTTTGATGGAAGCCTTTCTTTCTCCTCAGTACAGGCGAATGAAATAATATGAGGCCAAAAATGGCACAAAAGACATGAATAGCATTTCTGTAGATCAAGGTTTCTTTAAATAAACATGTCTGAAGATGATGTGGCTTGCTTCTAAAATGTACTATTTGATACTGAAACGAAACACAGCTATTATTAGGGAAACCTTGAATGTTTGAAAGTTAGAATGTTAATGCAATCAAGCTCAACTTCACAGAACCCCACAGCGAAGGTCCAAATGTAGTCCAGAAAAAAACGTCCTACTCTGACATTGATGCACATTCGCCTTACTCTGCAACCCAAATAATATTTTTTTTTATTTTTCTCTCATTACTTAAAGGGAAGCAGTGAGTTACTGACAGAAATAAAGGCATTGCAGATCTGTCAGGTTGGATGGGATTTCACTGAGATGTTTGGTTAGAGTGAGGGTTATATTTGACTTTTCCTTTCCTTTTTCCTCCTGGATATTTACAGTGGTGGAACTCCACTATTGTTTTGTGTTTTTCTGTGTTTTTGAGAAGGTTTCTGCGCGTTTTTCTCCCAACTGCTCACAGGATATCTTGAGCTCAGCTAGGCCAACTTGTGGGGTCTTTCTGGGTCACCCCTTTTCACAAAGGCACATAACAAAACTTTGCGTTCTGGAAAAGGGATTTTGAGTTTAGCTGACTTACTTTTAGGTCAGATACCTTGGGGTAATGAGGAGAACCTGGTGAATGCCTGTTCGCTCTTTTAGGTACATTTTTCATTTTAAAGGCATCACAAAGCTACTTCATGTCTATATTTATATGTGGAAGCAGTTCTATTTTGTTGTCAGTATAACTGTGAAAATTAAGCATATTGTTAAACAGATGTTGCACATCAGGTGAAGCTAAATTCGAGAAAACCTTTATTTTCCCTCCAGTTTGAACAGAGCATTGCTGTCAGTGACACTAATTGCCAGTTAAATGTAACAACCTTGAAAACAAATGGACCTGCTTTGTCATCCTTTATCTGTGTCAGGCTCCACTCTGGCCAACGGAAAGATGCATCTGCACAGCTCAGTTAAGCGGAAGCTGGGTGAGGAGAAAGGCTACGTCTTTGACAAGCGGCTCAGGTACAACGTGCGACAGAACGAGAGCAACTGCCGATTCCGAGACATCGTCGTCAGGAAGGAGGAGGGCTTCACTCACGTCCTGCTCTCCAGCCAAACGACGGACAGCAACGCTCTCACGCCAGAGGTGAGGGCAGAAATCTGCACAGACCAGTCGCCCTTTTCATTTTCTCTTATCCGTTTGGCCCCTTACAGTTTTTTTACTGTTATAAAAATGTAAGGAAGGTGTGCAACTTCTCCAGTAGCAGCTATGGAGATGCCCCTGAGCTTTCCACTAACTGCTTTTTCAGAAAAGCTGTAATAAGTGTATAAGTGCTTCCTTAAAACCGCATCCTGGCGAACAAGGTCACAAGGTTTAATAACTGGAGTGCAGTATGTTTCGTCCAGTGTTAGAAAAATCTAAAAAAAAAAGGCCATAAAACTCAGGAGGACAATCTCCTCCACATTGTCCACCTCCTGACGCCCACAGATGTAATTTTTATCATTTTTTGTCATCTGTAAGGGACCGGAGGTGCAAAGCTTTATTTGAAAAGACACAGCCACCTGTGGGCAGTGGAAAGGACATCCTGGGCTTCTACTGATGTGTTTTTTTATTGTTATTTGTTGGGGTTCATCCAATGAAAAAGATAATCAGTCTTTTAAAAAGTTGCTGCCATTGGGGGCCAGCACGTTAAATGGTCAAAAGACAGAAAGTTATTGGAGGAGCCCTCCATGAGTGCAGGTTTTAAAAGGCTTTGGATTTCTACATGCACAGTCATCCCTGTGCTGTCCTACCATTGCTACACAGAGGACATCTTTCCATTACTGTCTTGTTATAAAAAGAAGCCTCCTTTATTACATAACATTAAACATGCAAAAATCGTACACCAAATCTAACTTTAGTAAACTTTAATCATATGATTGTGCCATTATTATAACTCAAATTCCTTGATCCAACATAACAACATAAAGACCTTTGTTGAATATTTAAGACGTTGGACTCGCTGAGCAGGTTCTCACTATTTTTAGAAGCGTGTTTAATTAGAACATGTTTGCCAGCTGTGTGTTCTCTACATGGATTTAGGATGAATAATCAGAGCCAAGCTGTGTTGACTTGCTTTTTTCTACGTGTTCACGTGAACTCCTCAGCAGTCTGTTGATCACTTGCTGTGCGCTGCCACATAACTTTTGCTGTACAATCAACACTGAGCAGCGATTCACCGCACGAGAGTAAAACTTTCTCTCTGCATGAACCGAATCATCTGTCAAATTATCTTTGTAAAACCGTGTCAACATGTAGTTTTCTTTGGGTTTATTTGTTTAATTGGCTGCCCCTAAGAATTTACCAGAAGTGAATGCTGATGTCCACAGTTCAGTCAATAACAAACTGACTAAGCTAATTACATTTTCCATAACTATGCTGAGGATCCCATTTCTTTGTGCTACTTCTTACCAAAGAAATGTTAAAAATAAATAAATTAGAAATGAAATTATTGTTGATATGTGCTTAAAGATCATTTTTACATAATGGAGGTTGGCCAGAGATAATGACATGGATCACAGCTCTCCACCTCTGGCTCGTAACTCCAAACAAACAGGATATTCCTCCACTCAGACGCTAGTCTGTGCCTCAGATCTTCCACAGAGGGCCGTTCTGGCTTTGATACATCGCTGTAGACGAGGACGCCCGTACCTCACAGGCACTCGAGAGCCCTAAACTGTGTGTGCACGTGCGTGTGCTTTCATGTGCGACAGTAAGCCCGTAAGCTGTGGGCTTATCAAACAGCTCGGATGGCTCCCTCTGTGTCTCGCGGTCTTTGAAGCTGCAGGAACCAGAGAGAGTCTATGGATGTGCTTCCGGAGGGACTGAAGCTCAGAAAATCATGAAAAATATCCCTGTGCAGATTTTTCACAAGCACGATTTGAAGTGTGAGAGTCTCCTGAGCTTTTAACCGGTAAAGTTTTGTCACCTTCATAGCCTAATATCTTACTTTTTTTTTTCATTACCAACAGCCAAATGTAGCTGGGACTGGTGTGTATATGGTACATCTTACAAGGATACAGTATTGCTTGTAAGACTGTGTATTGTGTAAAAATGTGTATTCTAATCTAAATTCTACACTTTTTTTTTTTTTCCTAAACCCGGAAGAAGCTCTGTACCATAAGGCTCATTATTATTCACATGCATGAAATGTGATCTTGGGTTGAGTTGCCAACCATTAAACAAATTGCAAACATTTGTGAAAACAAACTTTTCTCTTGGACAAGCGCAGTTCGAACAACATGCCAACAACTCGTAGTGCGCCACCTGTCATTCCTGTATCTTTTTGCGTTATTAACTGTAAAAGGATCGTGCCTTTCCATCTATGTTCATTCTGACCCTAACAATTCAGCGCAAGCTTTTTAGTTTCTGTATAGTGATCTGCTTTTCATAAACTAAGACAAGAAATAAGTCTAAGTTGATCTTTATGCTGCTTGCTCACTGGCCTTTGCTGTTCTGTAAGATAGGCTCAGTTAAAGTCTGAATCACTGGATTTCTAAAAGTTGTGCTGTTCTCTGCTCTGTTCTCTTGAAGTTCTTCTCTTTGCTTTTATATTATACTAATTAAGTGATACCTCTTAACCAATGTTCCCTCTCAGGTGCGTGATGCGCATTCGTGCACTGCTCCCACGTTCTCCGTTCACAGCAAATCTATGCAGCACACACAATATGATTAAACCTGAACTGTAAATAAAATAAATGGTTAAGTATTTATTTAACGTGGGAGCAGTGCGCAAATTCGCTAGTGCGCAGCTTAGAGGGAACATTTCTTATAACCAAATCAGTGGTTTACACATAGAAAAACAAGCTGCTGGTCTTATCTATTGGATGTTTTTAGAAGCTAATATTACTTGATGCTGATCCTTATTGTTTGATAAATGCTTTTTTATTGTTCATATAGTTTATTTACAAGCATCATCAAGATGTCTGCAGTATGTACACAAATGTCACTTTGCTGCTCTTGTAGCTCAAATCAGCATCTGCTCATCACTGCTCGATGTGTGGGGGCAGGGTTTGAATTAATATTGCCAAAACAACATAGTATGGTCACACATATATCCCATCTTGACAGAGGTCGTTACACTAAGTCAGATTATTTCATGGAGGCATTTCCTATCTCTTGACATTTCCACCACATCTCTGCTTTGAGGCCATTTGCATAAACGTCCCAGATAAATGTGTCCATTTCGTGGTGTGGTCAGAGTATGTAAACATATTTATGTCCTCGCAGTGCCAGTAAAACAAGTGCACACACACAGACAGTGCATCCACTTCAAACTGGGATGAGATTATGTGATTGGTGAGACATGGAGAATTAAGTTAGATTTGAGTTTGAATGATTAATATGGGTCAGGGGGAGGTAATCTGATTAAAATGCAGCAGCAGAGTGATGATTGACTGTTGACAGTGATGTGGTGGTGTGGGTGGGAGCTGGGGCTTCCAGTGAACCTCCCATCAGGCCTTATGTCGCAGATCAAGATCAAACCCTGGCCTCCTCAGGTCAAATAAAGCATGCCCATTTCCTCAGTTGTAGCTTTTGCAATGCAGCAAATGCAGCATTGTGTTTTTTGGTTTGTTTGAACTAGAGTGGTATGTAGTTGAGTTGGGGTTGTCAAAGGTAATCCAGTTGCTCCTGGCCAGCAGGCTGTCAAGGGAACGAGCTGCTCAGCAAGTTGATATGTAAACATCTTACCCTCACCCAACCACTGCTTCAACATGGACATGGAAAAGCCAGAAGCAAAGTGTTCACCACTCTCTTTCACTTTTTACATGAAAAAGCTCAGTTTCTGAGACTTTTGGAGGCACTGTGCCATGAACCAAATGGGTTTGTGTTTAAAAGGCAGATTATATCTTAATGTCAGTTCAAAACAAGATATGCTGCATCATAGCCTGTGTCCAGTACGTACGTATATACAGCATGTATGCTGTCACCTAATCAGTTTAGTGGTGGCACAAGTTATCTGTATTAGTATTTTCTTATTTTCTGTGTTATTACAGTTTAAGCAACTGTTTACTGTTATTCACTATGCTTAAATCCCTATATACAGTAGTGAGTACAACTGTTTTTGCTGTAGACTGAAGTGCCTCGTAAAGCATTCCACCAGTGAGGGCTGTGACATCATTATCATCAAGCACAAAAGAGTCAAAATCTATGTTTAGATTTTTTTTTCTTTATCTGTCAGGGAAGATAAGAATTTGACATCCTCCTCTGTGTCCAAACCTTTACAGTCCATTCACTCGTCATTTTGTTCGGAATTGTGACATTTGTGCAATAGGAGTGATTTCTAGTTTGAAAAAGCAATCATCCAGAAGCACCGCAGGAGGATTAACGGTTCACCAATGTGCAGACTACTGCTATCAATCTGTTTTCAAGTTGATGTCAAGTGGTACGCTGGTCCAAGTGGAGGCTTCGGAGGAATTACTCTTATTGAGAAAGCTTTATCAGATGTGTGAAGGTCTGAAAGCAGTTCACGCCGGTAAAAAAAATCTTACCTTTCACATCCTTATAACCACATCACATCTTTCAGTCTCTCAAACCAGCCATGGTCAAACAAAGCCACAAACTGGACTAATTAATGTGGAAATCTTGAAAATGTCTCAATATGAAGTTGGTAATTTCCTGCGGCTTGCCTTCACAGATCATGAAGGAAGTGTGCCGGGCTTTGGGTAATGCTGCTGCTGACGACAGCAAGCTCTTACTGCTCAGCTCGGTGGGCACTATTTTCTGCAGTGGCCTGGAGCCGTCGTACCTGATAGGGCGTCTGTCCACCGACCGGCGAAAAGAAAGCACCCGCATCGCAGATGCTGTGCGGTAAGGGGAGATCCTCGCTCTTTTGTAACGTGCCATTATTCTCAGCCGAGTCTGCAGTGATCTTTGTGTGACCCCTTTAGGGACTTTGTGTTGGCATTCATCCACTTTAAGAAGCCCATCGTGGCAGCAATAAACGGGCCTGCCATGGGCTTGGGGGCGTCCATCCTGCCGCTGTGTGATGTGGTGTGGGCCAGTGAGAGGGCCTGGTTCCAAACGCCATGCGCAGCCCTTCACCTCACCCCCTCCGGATGCTCCTCGTACACCTTCCCTCAGATCCTCGGAGTAGCTCTGGTGGGTCCCAGGGCTCAATTAAATTTCATGTTATTCCTCTCAAAACAAGCTGAACACAATAAACCCAGACGCATGAAACCTGGGCGAACACACAGAAATGTGAATGCCTTTTCTTTTATCCAGATTAATAAAGCAGCGCGTGCATATGGCCCTCTTTCCTCAATCATTGTGCATTTTTCACAAAAAATGCACAATTCCCTAAGCATCATTTGTCAGAGCATGATAATAAAAGCACCAAAAAAAAAGAGAATATTGTACCCAGATGATTACAATCGATTTAGATCAAACTAAATTGTTATTTTATTGGGTTGTTTTTAGTTCTCGGTTCACAAACAACACATTAGTAAGCAGAGGTAAAAAAGTGGCAGTGGCCTGTTTTTTAAGGAACCTGCCAGAGGTGGAAAAATAAAAATAGTCGAAGGTCGAATAATAAATGAAAGGAAGCATCAGCTCACATGAGGGGTCTTACTTAGTCATCTGCAAGCATGATCATAATGCATGGCTGCATTTGTTTATGGAAGACAAGATAACGAGAACAGTCAGAAATAACAATTTAAAAAATCTTATTCAGTTCAAACTCTGTCAGTTTGTAAGTTTTCTTGATTTGGGAAATAATGACCCTCATTTTGGTGGTACTTTGCATGAAAGAGACGCACGCACAAACCCTGAAAAATTCATAAATGGTTCACAGCTCACCTATCGAGCCGTTTTCATTAAGCTTTCGTTTGACTAACTGGTTTTTCTTTGAACTGCAGGCTAATGAGATGCTGTTCTGTGGGAGAAAGCTCACAGCGCAAGAAGCCTGCAGTCGAGGATTGGTGTCACAGGTCTTCTGGCCAACCACTTTCAACCAAGAGGTGATGCTGCGTGTGAAGGAAATGGCATCGTGCAATGCAGTGGTAGGTCCCGAAAGACACAACCCAAGTGGGGAAAGATTTGTCTTTAGCTTCACCTAATGAGTCCTCTGTGTGTTTGTGTTCAAAAGGTTTTAGAGGAGTCCAAATGCTTGATGAGGAGCATCCTCCTGCCAGTCCTTGAAGAAGTGAATGAGAAAGAGTGTCAGATGTTGAAGCAGCTGTGGTGTTCAACCAAAGGGCTGGAGGCCCTCTTCAGCTACCTGCAGAATAAGACCCATGAAAAGTAACCGCCCGCGCCCACGAATATGAAGGCGATCGGTATTTGACTGACGCCGCCATTTATTTATTCCAATTCTGTAAAAATTGTTTTTCTGTACATAATATACATTTGCAGAATTTTCTTTTAGTTGCTCGATGTCTTGAATTGAGTGTAAACCAAAGTTTTGCTTGCTGCTGGCTCGTGCACATTCCCTCCCCACCCGTTAGCGTGAAGGAAACCTCCCTGACATGTTGGCTAATCAGATTCAGAGACTTTTGGGTTGCTCTCAGCAACCAGGGACATGATCTGTATAATTAAAACAAAACAGACACATTGTTTCAGCTCGCCGTTCATTCCTCTTCCTGCACAGGTCTTTATGACACAGAAGAGAATTTTCTTGTGACTGGTAAATTCAATCAAGATTAAAACCCTCTGAGGGTTTTACTGAAAGAGAGGCAGTGCAGCGCCCAAATGTCAACGTTCTTCTGTCTTTCCTTGTCTTCACCTGCTGAAAAAACAGGCGGAAGTTCAGATTGGCTTCAGTTTATGTTAATGAAATTGAACAGTTAAGATATTTTCGTTTGGCGAGGCAGACTTTGGATTTAAATTCCACAAGAACTGTTTGAAGATGAGGAAATGAGTGGACATGGTGAACTTTAAAAGCCTTGCCTGTGTGGGCTTTATGAATACATAATTAGATAAACCATCAGAGAATATTGCATAGGAAGCATAGCAGCCTGACACACTGTGCTGTGATGGTCCAGATGTGTAACAAGGCTTCCTTTTAGCAGTGCAGATGGCCATTTGGTGATATGTGTGGATGGTATTTGAAAAAATGTAAGCCTGGTGATCTTGTTGCTGATTCATTACACCTTTTCAGGGGCTCACAGGAGAGAAAAAAAAGAAAAATATGATGGTAGCCTAATTATCAACTGTCTGTGAAGAACATTGTGGAAATGTAACATCTGCACCGCTATAGTCGACCTCCTCTTTGTCTGCATGTCAACAATTCAAGATTTCAAGATCAGGTATATTTTGCTATGTGTATTATATTTAGGGATCTATTTTTGTTTAAAATATAAATGTTTGTAGGTCTGTGTAAAAAAACAAACAAAAACAGAACAAAACAACAAAAAAAAGGATTTTGTAAGGCTTGTCTGTTTCACCGTGAACAATTCTTTATATAAATATATGTGTGTATAGTGTAGACTGCTTTCTGTAACTAATTGCATGTAATATACTGTAAAAATGTGTTGCCTGTCTGAATACCTTGTATTTCAGTCTGGGTTTTGTACCAGCATTGTAAGTTTTGTCAGAAATGTTGCTGTTTATTTTTGTATTTATTTGAGAAAACCGTTTGAATGTGCGGTACCACATAGCTTCCTTCGCTCCAGAGGCACCACAACACTTTACATCAGGCTTTCTGAACCCCACAAATCTCTCATGGGTAAAAATGAGTTAGAGAAACAATATTCTAATAACTTTTGTATGGCAAATACTTGCCCTTTTAATTTCATTGTAAATCATCCAGAGACATGTCAAGTGATTTTGTGTATATTTTGTTTTGAAGAGCTTTACAGGGATGAACAGGTTGCTTTATTGGAAATATAACAGAAAGTTACTGTATTGTCATCAGTATAACCTGTGGTTACGGATAAATTACAAAGACTTATGGTTTAATTTTTAGATTATTTTCAGACGTGAACTAAATTATGAAAACTTCACTATAGAAGTGGGATTCTGCTCATGAAATTATCATGTTGTCAGGTTAAAAAACATTTGTTGACAAAAAGCAGTCACCGTGGACTTTTCCTCTGTGTTTTTCAGTCTGTGTTGCTCCTGTGACTGTTAATATCCTCCGTTCCTGCTTTACTAGAGAGCCCAGAGATGAAGTGAGACAGATGTTTATGATGTGACTACTGTACAGCATCAATGAATGCAAATCACTCAGGTCTGCTGAGAGTGAGTCACACTGATACTCCAAGACAGGGTGTTTTATATATTTATTCATTTATTTATTTTTGTTGTATCAAATATATCGCCTCTGATTGCAAAAAAACATTTATTTTTAACCGTTTTACTTTTGGAATCTAACATCCCATCTCCCAATGTATCCAAAGTGATTGATTAAAACAACTTCATGTGGATCAAATACAACTTTTTCCCAAATCTATTCATGGTTGTATCATTATTTATGAAAAAGGCCAAAACTAGATGTTTCTGTCATTTTTATGATGCTATAACATTCTCTAAGGTCACATTTGGGGCTGCTTAAATTTTAATAAGTAATCCATCTTGTAGTGGAATACCTGATCTGCTTTAATAAAATGAAAAGTACCTTCATTTCATGCATTTCATGTTACTCTAGGCCTAAACTAGGCCATGTTTCCTGTTTTGGTCTGGTGATGACATTTGTCATTTGATTCATTGGTGCATTACTTCCACCTTTTGCTCTGTAATTTGGATAAGTAGGCATATAACAACCCATCAGAATGTCATCCTTGACTACCATGGTTGGTTTCGGCTGGATATTTTGGGCCATACAGACCCCCTGATGCACCCTTTGTATTTCTCCAGGCACATGCACTTCAGGCACTGGCACATACAAACAAACAGACACTAAATGAAAGCAAGAAGGGACTCTGAAGGGATTATATTTCCACTTTAATTATACACAATTAACATTGAATCAATATGATTCCCAATTACTGTATTCATGCTGAACTTTTGTTTTCATGACCAGCGTTTAGGAGGTACCAGAATATTCCTGAGGTCTCCTGTCAACAGACACAGTGTTTGGTTGAAAGGCCTCTGTGTACAGCTACACTGGCCCTGTCCGATGGAGCAGCTGAGTACAGTATGGGAAAATCACGGATGGAGGCCAGGAAAAGCCCTAAAATCTAAAGAATTTAAGTTGACCTAAAATGTCTGTGCGGATAGTTCAATGTTTTGAAATGTGATCCTGGGTTCAAATTGGAAATCTGATATCCAAACATTCAAGACCTCTGCTAAAGCACAGTGTCCACTTTTAAATCTGCAAGCATATCCATGATGAATACCTGAATAGGTTTTTTAAAAAAAACACATCAGCTCTATTCAAACTTCTTCTTTTACCAGTCCTCTACAGAGTGTTTGAAAATCCACCAGGCACGCATGGGTAAAGAAAACATGACCTCAACTGTGCCCCATGATGGAGGTAAAATGCAATATACATAGTAATAACGCAGTCGTGGACACTCACATCTGATGCTTACACCTTTAAATACTAAAACAACCCAGCCAGCCAATATACAGGTACACTTAGTTCAACTTCCCCTTCCGTCTTCACAGAATAGCAGCAGTTGATGCATTTCAAACAGTCACATGCTGAATTCAAAGTCCCAAAGATTGACAGCGTGTAACTTGCAGAGCCAGTGATAAACTGCCATAACATTTTCTTCAGAAACCCTCCTTTGGTCCCTCTTTCAGCCTCTTTTTCATGTCTTTGGCGTGCTGCTTGCTACGCTCCCGCTTGTCCAGTCTCTATCGAAACAAGAGGGACACAAGGAAAACATTGATGAAGAACACAATCTTAAGCATTGCATCAAAATATTTGTTAAATTCGTTTCTCAAAACGGCAGGAGGGAAAAAAGTTACGGACTTCTTTCTTGAGACACTGACGCATGGCACGGTCCACTTCATTACAGGTTCCAAAGAACTTCAGGAAATTGTGCTAATGGAGAAATAGAGGAAGATCACATTGAAGTAGTTTGGACATCTGAAGCATACGGTGACAACCGACCAGAGAGATAAATTTACCTCTGTGTGGCACTGCCTCAGAAGGGTTATTAGCTCATTACACTCATCAGTGTGCAGGTGAGGGGACAGGTCGGGGTGCATTATGAGTTAAGGGCTTATAGTATCACTGGAGCTGTACTGAAAAATCACAAACAATACAAGTACTGAGACATGGTGCATACATTTGTCAGGGCAAAAAAAATCGGGCAATATATACTAATCACATGGTATGTAACATCTGACTGACTAATGAAATCATTGATTAATCATTATTTTTGGTACATTTTAACACTGTTAGAGGTCTAAAGGATACTAACGCCTCCCCATCCCTCGCCTTGCTGATCTGTCATTTTTGATGATGGAGTTTCCAACGGACACTTACCTGCAGACACAGAAGAGAGTAGTATACAACAGTGTTGCAAACGCAATTCTGTTACACTCACCCACATTTGCTATGGAGTTTCGAGTATAGCAACACGGACATTATTAGAACCGTTCAGACAACCCAAAAGGTATGTTTTACATACCGAACACCTGATATATTATTACATGCTATTTACTGCCAGACAAATGTATCTTACCAGTGAAAAAACAGTGTCATCTGATCTGGTTTTCCAACATACAGTTGTGTAAATGTCCTGTTAGCTAACTGTTGGGCCTCAACTGACTTAAAGCACAATAAATAAAACCACTCAACCAAGAAGAAACTAGCTTTTCTCCAGTACTATAGCTACCTGGATTCCAAAATCCAGAGCTATATTTCACTTTTACTTGTAAATCAGTACCATCAGCAGAATAACCTACAAAAGCGCCAGGAACTTGGAGGACATGCTGCCTGCTGAAAAGCTTGCATAAGTGTTGACGGCAGTAAGTTACGTGACAGATGTCAAGAGCGAATGGCATTAGAGTTTCTGTTGAATTAGCCAATAGTGTATGCTCTTTTGATAAGAGGCGGGACTTATTGAAGAGGAAGTTTACCGGAAATCCAAGAAAATTCCTCCCCAATCAGATCCTTCTTCGTCTAACATCTGTTCCTTTCAGTGTTATTTACCAGACCTTTGATGATATACAAAGAGGTAAAAGTCACGTTTATATCACCTTAATATTAAATTTACAAAAAACGTGGCTTTTTTATTTTTCAAATTGAAATTTCCATTTACAACAAACAAAAGTCGAAAATCAAAAATATGAACGACAGCATTTTTTTAACAACACTTTTAAACTCACTCACAATTACCATCAAAACTGGGGGGTTTTTTAACTTCGGAAAACATGATTGTGTAATAGTAAACTTTTTGGTGGGGGGGGTTAATTGATCAATTCAATCATGGATAAAATAATTAGATGTTTTCCAGAAAAAGCTCTGACATTTATTTTCACAGACATATCTCCCACTCCAATACGGCAGGGGGCGCTAATGAAATATCTGGATGATCCGTGTTCAGATCTGATTGGTTGATTCATCCACTCTCTTATAGGCGGTTTGTTTGGAATTGCTGTACGGCTGTTTTCTTCCAAGCTGAAAGAAAGCTACATATCAGTTAAATTCAAACACTTTTCACTTCGGCTGGGACTTTTGGGGATTTTTGTATGTGGAAGAATGGATGACTCCATGAAAGTGTTGTTGCAACGTCTCGTGCGACGAATACCGACACAAATGCTAAAGGCAACTCTGGAGAAGTGGGGCCGCCTGACCGCAGCACAGCGTCAGTCTATGGACTACACCCAGTCAAAATGGGCCAAAACGCATGCTCTGCTCACTATCTGCGAGGTGTGTGGCGCATTTTCTGTTTTACAACACCGTGTATCATGTATGTTGTACAAACGGTTTGCTATGAGGTGGCAAACTCGTTCTTGGGCGTTTATATGCCATGAAAAAACAGCTTGAAGCGGATGTTTTTAGCCCGTTGAATGCAATCTGATTGCGTTGTTGTGGATATTTTGTTTGTTAACGTGTTTATATTCCCCTCTTTCAGGAAAACGAATTGACAATGAAACACATAACAGAGCTCGAGATGATGTGTAAGTGTATGTTTTGTCATGAATTATTCCTCTCTGAAGTTGCAGCAAACAGATCTTAGAACTTATTCCCTTCTCGAAATAGTCTTGTTAACGCTTTCCTTTATTTGGTCTATGGTTTATTACAAAACGATCATGGTTAGAGAGTATAACCGGGCTGGTTATACATTTCCCAAATGTTTAGGAAAGAATCGTGTATCCTGACACATCCACAGTGTCTATCAGTTGCCATGGTAACTTGGCTGGTTGCTTTCATCTTTGCCCTGCAAGATGCCAATCACCAACATAGTTGTGTATTCTTTATCACATGTGTTTGTGTGTAAATCCATTTACTATATTCCTCAGTGTTGGTTTTTGTTATTTCTTTATTTCTATAATGCTGCTGATGTGACATCGAAAGGAGAGCAAAATATATCAGAGTATTTCGACTGGAATTTCCTTGTTGAAAAAATAATTATGTATCTCCTTAACAAGCAAGAAGTACAAGTCAAAAGGTGCCTTTGGCCAAAGAGAGGCCACTGCTGAAGTAGTTAGTTTAGTAACAGTTTTTTTTTTCAAAGCAAAGACCATGTTGTTGAGAAACACTAAATGATAACGTAAAAATCCTCTAAATGTGAGTCATCCGATGTCATCAGTCCAACAGACTTTGTCATGTTGCTTGCAGATGTCATTGAGAATCCAAACCAGGGGATGTGGTACACCTTCCAGCTAATGGACCCTGAGGGTATGTCAAATCTAGAGTGTACATTTGATGCTTTTTGAAAAGGTGAAGCTTCTTTTTGTCTTTTAAAGACTACACCTGCCTAATGCTTGTTTTTCCTAAATGGGTCAAATAATCTGATAGAATCCAGGTTTTACTTAATATTTAAGTAATCCAAACAATTTATACACATAATTGCACTGTACTGTGTGTGTCTTCTTCGTTGTTTTGTTGTGATTTCCTGGAATTTGCTTTTCTTTTCTTTTTATTACTGACTGGATTACAAATCGGCCATCACAGCCTTTTTTATTTCAAGATGGGTATTGAAGCTTTATTGTATTCTAAATCCATTTCTAACATTCTGCTTCTCTAGATGATGCTCACTGTGTGGAACTGACACAGTTCAAAGAACAATTTAAGTCCCACCTCAGTGAGCTCATAAGACACGTAAGCCTACCTGTACTGTTTATGTAGTGCAGCACCTGCATCCTTAAAAGACATTTAAAACTATTCCATGTCAGTCATGTAGCGACAAATTCTACATTTTCCCTTCACCTGCGATTTTAGGTGTCAGTGAAAATAAAAAAGCACACAGATGAGGCCGTGTGGATTAGAATTGCATGGGGAGACAGCTTCTCTCGGCCCAACCACCTGAGACCAACTTATGCTGTCCACTACCTTCAGACCCCCTACGTGTTTGTGAGCAGTCTGAAATCGAAACTAAGGCCTCTGCTCTCTCAGGTGAGAAACACACTGGCATCTCTTTTTTCTTCTGTGCTAATAGATTTCCATCCACTAAGAGATTTGTGTTTATTGCAGGCTTTGACTCTCTCTACCAGACATCAGGCTATTAAGGATGCTAACCTAAGTGGCCGGAAGCTCACTGCCATCAGAGACCTGCTGATGAGGCAATATCAGCAAGTAAGCCTCCTGCGGTTATGTTGCAGAACACTATGGGTCGAAGTCAGATTTGTTCTTTCTTAAAATTTTAAATAATTATCTTGAATCCTTTTTTTCTTTAGGTATTTCCTACAAAGTATTCCAGTCCTCTTGCAGAGAAGACTCAAACTGTCCCAAGTACGTGCTGTAAACTGATATTTGAAAATCTTCCTGTTCAACTTTATGGGGTCACATTCTTCTTAACATTGTATTCGGCTTAAGTCTGTATTTTGGGTACATTTCTGTGTTATTAATATGATAGTTTGGCTTCATGTTTGTGCAGATATGCACATAGAAAAAGAACAAGCTGAGGCTGCTGAAAACAGGCATCAGATGGCAGGTGAAGCATTCGGGGAGGGGACATTACCCCAGCTACAGTCGGCTGTTTATAAGGTACTGACATGGTCGAAGTGAGCTGTAAATTACATTTCAGTCCTGTTTTTTTTGTGAATTGTTTTTTATCTGTTTATATCCTCAGCTGGAAACAAAATTCAGAGACCCCACCAATGAGACCATGACAGAGCGGGACGAGACATTCAGATGTGTAGTAAAATTTTCAAGCACAAACCTCCTGGAGTCCCTTCGGCACTGTGCATCCTCAGGTATAAATAATTGATCAGTTAAAGCTATTAAGCTAAGCATTTACTACATAATAAATGATTACGTAAAATTGTGTTGATTTAACAGTAAAAAAGATAAATTCTTGTTTTTTTTAGTAGCTCCATAGATACCCACAAGGGGGTGCACCGTCACCCTAAAGTGGCCACAGAAAACAAATTAATTATACAATATGTAGCACTGGGTGAATACTTATTTATTTTCTTTTAACATTATTTAACTGAACGTTTGTCACCTTACAACAACAAGGAAACAGCTTAATCTCCATAACTGTCAAAATGTTCTTAAAAGGTTACATTCTTCCTTATAAACAATTCCACTCATGTAATCCTCTATTTTGCAGGAATTGCGTCGACCCCTGTCACACCCCTGCTTTCATCCATTCCATTAAAAGGAAGGAATTATTTTGTCATCACAGATAATGCCCCTGGTCCGTCCTCACAGATGCGCCAAACACAGGTCTGACTAATGACTGACTTATGATTAAGGGGCTCCTAGTGAAGTGCATTCTTCCTTCGACCAGCTTCAGTCAAGCAACACTTTGCTAGAAGTCTCATATCACTGGACTCTTTCGATGAAGCTCTTTTTTTTGCTGCGTATTTTTAGAAACTATCAGTCCTTATTTCTTCAGATGCATCCAGATGTACAGGTGTGACAAATGTTGGCAATACTCAATTATCATTTTGTTGTTAGTATTTACTATATCTGCAAATTAAAATGTGGGTGTGCAATTTTATAAGCATCCTTTTTTGCTAGTCAAATAAATTGAAAACATTCAACATTCAAAAATTAACTCTGATGTGTTATAATGAATTTGGCTTAGACATATAAAATAATATCTTCTGTTTATGCTCCTTATTTAAAGATGTTTTGAAACTAAGCTTGCAAACATTTTTGGGGAAATCCTTAAGTTTATTACACTTAAGTTATGTTCATTCTGACAGCCTTATTAAAGACTTCTTTTTTGTTTGTATTTAAAACCACGACTTTTTAACACGACTACATTTGACAGTTGGAGGGTAAAATCGAGCTCTTGGTCTGTGTAAAACTTCATTTTTAACATTCAGTTAGTTATTTTAAGCCTCACAGCAGTAGGAGTGAGTCCAAGGAAGTTGTCTTCATCCATTTTAACACTTATCTTACCAAGTACTTCTGTATACAGAGTCTAACTCAAGGCTTTCTTAGTTCTATTTATATTAGGAATCCCTGGCTATATATTGCTTGCTTTGAGGCTGTATGTAAAATATTGTAATTTTCAATTTATGAAGCTGGTCTAGATTGAAAGTATCTGCAGATGGACAATTAAGTTTAATTTCTATGTTTTGTTTCCCAATTTTAATTAAATTTGCGATATTACTTGAGGTTTTGTACAAGAAACCTTTATGATTACCTAAACCTACCAATAACGAGTCAGTGGAAAACAACACCATGCACATTTTTTTAATTAATGAGGTCTCATATTTAAAAAAAGCTTGTATTTGAATCTTGTCCCCGAGATTATCTGAGGACTTTTGTGTCTGAGTACTGGCATGATGAAACCAACCTTGATTATAATGAAAAAACAGCCTTGTACAGTCTGTCTGGTTGAATTAGATCAGGTTCTTATTTTGTAGAGTTTATTCGGTTAACATTTATAGATGGCCCTGTGGGGAAAAAAGTACCTGTATAATTCATGGAATATTATTCCCTGTTTCAAAAGCGCTTTGTTAAATGAAAAAATCACCTCATTCAATGTTGTCCTCTGCTTAATGGTTAATCTTTCTGCCCCTTTGAGAAGAAGAGCCTAGTCTTATGCACATTAAATGTAACTTTTACATTTCAGCTGCTGACATTTTGTCATCATAATAAATACTTCACTGTATTTCGATATATATATATATTTGTGAATACTGTATCACATATGTGAGCCTGATATTTCAAGGTGTACATTTTAAAGCCGGAAGTAATGCTTTTTGACGGATGTGACGTAGCTCATCAGCGTTAACAGCGGAGTTCCGCTCTGATGTGGTCAGGCATGGAGCCTTTCAGTCAGAACTGAGGGATGGTGTGCCTGCTCACATCCAATGCTGCTCCGGGGGCTCTCTGCCAAGCACAGAATGGACTGTCAACACAGAAACATGGCCGCCTCTGCAACGGGCAAAACGAGTAAAGGCAGCACGACGATGGACAGCCTGAAATGCCACGGGGAGTCTCTTTCGCAGAGTCGGGAAATCATAAAACCCACAATCATGGAGTTAGCCAAAGAAGTGAGGACGAACATCCTCTGCACCGTGGAAGGATGTGGCAAGATTCTCCCCAACACACCTGCATTGAACATGCATCTAGTTAAGTCGCACAGGATAAAGGTAATTGCTGTTAAACTTGGTTTTTCAAATGGTGTGTGGACATATCTGCAGCGCTAACTTGGCTAGCAGTCAGGTCACAGCATAAAACTGTAGAAAAACATAAATAATAAAAACGCAAGTCATCCAACTTTGTCTTAGCTAACCCACAGTGATGTAGCAGGTAGCAATGAGACGTTATTAAGCGTTTCATCCTTAATTAGTTACGTGGTTAACGTTTAGTCAGTGCCTTCATAATTAGCCACTTTGCTACATGTTTCTTCATCATTTTTCATCACGTGTCAATTGGTTCCCATGGCTTTTTTTGTGGATATAGGGATTTAACCTCAGGCTTAAGTAGTTTGAGTGATTGTTGTGTTTGTTCAGATCGAGATTTGGAGATACATTTGGTTTCAAAGGCTAAAATACCCTGAGGTAGAAATGTATTGATGCTTGAAATCCAACAACGGTCATTTTTTAAAGCATGTTTTTGAGTTGCTATACTTAACACATTAAGCATTTTAACAATCAGTTTAATCAAAAACCTAATTACTGCTTTCCTAACACATGATAATAAAGGCTTAAACAGTGGAGTGGTCAGGCAGTGTCCCTTCTGTGGCCTGTTACTCAGAAAGAAGGGCAAGCTGTCAATACACGACTGCACTCTGATACATTAACTTATACTTTTTAAATGGTTTTGAATGTCCTTTGCCAGTCAAAAAGATTAAATTGTTGCTTTTGTGTCAGCTATGGCTGCTTTTGTCATTTGTTTATTTCTACTGAAGACACAATCCAGTTCTGATGCCAGATTCATCCATTAGAAAATAAAAAAGCCTGAGTAATCATCCAACCCCAGCTCAGTTCACTGGATTACAATTGGTATCAATGGCAGTTTTGGCACTAAACTATCAAATCATGCACATTTCCAAAAGGTTTAGCAGGTGACATGCTGATCCAAGATAAATAACAGAGCAGTTACATAAGGCATCATCAGCTTGATAATTTTTATACCTGTCTTTTTCAAGGGGAAGTAGGTTGTCTTCTAAAGGCACCTGAGTTCAACAGAGTTGGTTGAATAGAATGGACTTTAAGAAAATAAAAGATTAGTGTTGACTATTCAGTGTTGCCCCAAAGTCTACCTCTGACTCTGGTTCCTCTGTCCTCACTAGACCGGGCTTTTCCGTGGGAGGCTGTAATTCTCCCTGTCCCATCGATGAATGAAGGTCTTTGCTGAGAAAAGCTGTCTTTTGTCCGGCAATAGACTAACCTCTTTGTGTAGAATAGGCGGATGTGAGAATTTGAATTAGCCCTAGACAGTCAATAAGAGCAGATTGCAGGAGTTATTTAAAACTCGAATGATTTCAGATTTCTGAGACACAAAGCTAAATCTTTAAAAGAAATATGCTAAAAACTTTTTCCCCCATATCCGTGTCATGTAATGTATTATCTGTCACTGTGCAGCCACATTGTCATCCTCAAACTCAGATTGTAAATGGAGTGAAACGGAAGCAGGCTGCAGTGAGACTGAGTGAAACTGCGGGGCCATATTAATCCGCTTCAGCGTGAAATTTCTCTTAGACATTGTGGTGGTGATAAAGGTCTCTAATACTGGATGTTCTTACTATGTGGTTCTTAGGAGTTATTCACGGCATCACACTTCAAATGTAGGTTATTCTGGGAAAATACGCCTGTTTGTGTTATGTACACTTCAGCACCCACTCTGTTTTACTGCATCATTGCACATCAAAGCTTATTTGCTGATTAAACACTGTTCTTGTTTCTTTCTGGGTGGCTGTTTTCCTCTCGGCAGTTGACATGTCTCAATTGAATTTGTTCACTCAGCAGAGTTCTCTCCTTTCATAAGGGTAATTGACTGTTTTTCCTCAGTTCCTCGTTTATTTGAATCCCCTGTCCTTTTATTCCAAAGAGAAGCCATTTTGGAGAGTTCCTCTCACTTACAGCTGCTCAGAACAAAAATATCTCATGAATCATAACTTAAAGGCCGTGGACTAAGCCGGCTGTAGGATTGACAGGAAATGTTGGCTTTCGCCCTCAGCTTTCGGCTGATGACAAATAATATCTTGGCATGACTCAACCTTCAGCCCATAACCTTGTGATGTAACTGAAGAGGGCTGAAGGCAGATATATTGTATCCTTAATGTGTTTCATCTTTCGTTTTGTAACCCTTTCTGATAAATCTGAGGATGTTCTGTCACCTTTAGCTGCTCAGAATCTGGCGTCCCAGCAGATGGTGATGACCTTGGCTTCTGGAAGGGTGAAGATGGTAAAAGCTGTTTGATGCAATGATGTTGCCCATTCAAAGTGCGGAGAGCAGTCAGTGTTGATGGTGCGTTCTGTTAGTCAGAATAATTTACATCTGTTGTGCCCTGAGCGCTGAGTTGCAGCTCTACACTGCAGACAGTTGATTTAACACGAGTCCGGATGCGGCACATTTGTATCCTTTAGATTAGAAAGGCAAACCCTACTTCCTACATAATGCCACAATGTTGATAAAAAGGACCAAATTTGGAGCTAAAATATGTAAACTTGACAGGCCAAAGATGTAATAAAATGTCAGCGACATGACTTATATGTAGTTGTACTACATTAGAAATATTGAATGAAGGGAAATGGGAAACCAAACTTAATTAATAAGTACATAAAGATTGTTGAATATTATTTTATGATCAAATCGTTTTATACTTAATTGCTGCTTTTTTATGTACCAATATCTAATGAACAGGTTATTGCATAGATCATTGTTTATATTCAACATAAGCAAAGATTTCAGTATGTCAAGGCCTCCTGAGCAAAGTATAGATGAATTTCCAGGCATTACAAGATATTCACCAGGTAAAGCTCGTCATTCATGTTGCACCGAGTCCTCAAAACGCCCCCCTGGCCTCAGAAAGGCGGGGTCAGACAGCCAGAATTCTTTACGTAGACTATTTTGAACCACCACCACGTAATTCTGTCTACCCGGTGGGTGGGGCTCTACATGTTATGGGAGAAGCTGGTGTGTTTTCCTCTGGTTACGTACATTGCAAACGTGACGTATTCTATTCATAAAGGCATGAAATGAGATTATGTAAGCCTTCACGTCTCATCCAAAAATGTTAAGACACAAAACCAGAGAAATCAGTCAATTTGACACCATTGCAGTGGCCAATAAAAACACCAGAGGGGGCAGGTCTGCAGTTTTACTGCTAAATTAGTTTTAAAGTGTGTTTTTCCAGCCATTTGTGTTTCTAGACACCATGACAGAGCAGAGTATCACAAAGCGATCGCTCCATCTTATGTGATCCTGGCACTCGGTGAGGGAGGGGGAGCAGGACTGCTCTTTACTTTGTTGTTTTTTGTTCTTTATAGAACGAGTGGAGCACAGAGAGGTAAATTGAGGAGTTGTGGACCGGGGCTTAAAATAAATCAGCCACAGAGGGAGCAGTTGTACAGTCGGTGTCATGATCACAGGCATGAATGATTTCCATTGATGTTCAATGGTTGATCATGGTGGAATGATTCTCTAGCAAAATGTGCTGCTGTGGCTCATCATCATACCATGGAGCGTGTGTGAAGTGTGGTCCTCTAATAATCTTCCCTGGAAACCCAGTTTGTTCAGTCTGATGGCCTCACCTGCACAGAGAAAAGTACTGGAACCAACGGACTGCTGAAAAACCCTGAGCACTGTCAAGCAGTTGATGGAAATCCTCCTTCAGCTCAGAAAATAAATTGTTCTTTATAGTCATCCATTTCCTCCATGCTGTCTCCTGATGGTCCCTCCTAAGTCTGCAGCCATTTCTTTGGTCTTCATCACGTATTTGGTTCTTTTTCAGCTGATATATCCAGAAGTTTTGTTTATTTTTCCAACTAAATTTAAAGTACTAAACCTTTTGTATTATGATGCAAAAGCACCTCATGATTGATCGTAAATTCAGGGATTTACGATACTTATGTGGACTTTTTGTCATACTTGCTATGATTTAATTGCATTCTAAGCCTCTTAAATGCCTTTGTTTTTACCCCGTACTGTCTTTTTTACCCGTAGGACGGGATTATCAACCCCACGGTCAGAAAGGACATGAAGGGCTCTCAGAAGCTGTACTGCTGTCCTATTGAGGGCTGTCCAAGAGGACCTAACAGACCATTCTCCCAGTTTTCCCTGGTTAAACAAGTAAGCATTTTCTCTATCAACATGTAATGATTTTTTTTTGTACTTGATGAAAATCCTTTCAAATCTTTAAATCATTATGCAAAGCGGTGGCATATCAAAGGACTGAGCCTCCCTCAGTGTTTCCGGATGAAAAACCCCTGGGCTAATATATCAAATAATTAAATATTCTCCTTTAACCAGTAAAATCTGGTCTTCACACATGTATGTAACGCCAAGGGGGGTGTTTAACATGTTCTTTCTCAGAAGGCAACCCTTAAACACAGTTGCAGACCATAACATTAACAGCAGCTAATGGTGTTAATGCTAAAGGCCGTGTCAGCATCTTCAGATCTTTTTCCTGTTCCTCCTGCTGATGCTGGGTTTGGGTTTTGCTGTGTCGTACGGTGCATTTCCCAGCTGGGGGAGGGGCTTCTGTAAAGAAGTGCTTGAGATGTGGGATGAGTCAAAGGCTCCCCAAAGGAAAAAGACTTTAATTTATTGAACATGTTTGTTACTTTACGTTACTTTTAATGTTGGGGCTTAACCATGTGTTTTTAGCCATGTGAAATCTGTCATTGTAGCACTACATGAAGATGCATGCAGAGAAGAAACACAAATGCTCCAAGTGCAACAATGGATACAGCACAGAATGGGACCTGAAGAGACACATGGAGGATTGTGGGAAGACCTACCAGTGCACATGCGGCTGCCCCTACGCCAGCAGGGCTGCTTTGCTGTCACATGTCTACAGGACTGGACATGAAATTCCTTCAGAACACAGGCATGCTAAGACATACACCATACTGCTCTTAATTACCATTTTTGCTTTAGCTGTTGAAGAAAAGAGGTTTTGACTTTTGCCTTTCTTTGTTTTGTCTCTGCAGAGTTCCTCCAGTTAAAAAGCGAAAGATGGAAAAACTGTTAAGTGATTCCGAAAGGGTTAAGATTAATGACTCATCCATTCAAATGATGTCTGCCACTAAAGAAGTGCCTGAGATGGCTCTGCCTTCTGATTCAACCATTGACATCTCAGACCCTGTGAACCAGAGCTCCAACCCACATAGAAGCCTGCAGAAGTTGCTCTTACCGAAGCCCAAGATGGCTTTGGTCAGCGTTCCTGTGATGCATCTGGCCCACCTGCCTGTCCTCCTGCCTTCTACAGAAGGTGGGGGCCTGAGGTCTGTGGTTTTGGCCGTTGACAGCCAGGGTTCTGTCAGCACCCTGCAGCTCCTGCCACAAACCACAGGAGCAGTCGTACCTCATCTTGACGCAAAATGTCTGTCGTTCAGAGACGGCATGCCCTCCTCCCGCTCCAGCAAGGGGCCCGTGAGCACAGGGGTGCAGGTCAGTCTGGATTCTGTGGGTCCAGATGACTCGGCCGGCGGTATGGCGGGACAACGAGGAAGGAGCACCTCCACCAACATTCAGACTGACAAATCCTATCTGTCAAAAGCGCCCGCCGCTGTGGGGGTCGGTGACGCACTAGGGTTGAGTGCTATGGGCGAGTCCTCAGTTTCGTCCTGCTCCCAAACGGACATCAGCGTGAGTGCCCAGGTCCTGCTGCCAGTCAGCGTTGAAACCCAGACGTTCTCCTCCCGAAATAAATCCACATCGTCTATCGGGGCTCAGACAGACAGCCAGTGCCTGAGCCAAATCCCTTGCTCTTCCTCATCCTCGCTCCCGTACAAAACGAGTCAGACACAGACGTCCTTTGCCATTCCACAAGCGGAAGAGAAAGCCCAGGATCAGGCGATCATGTGCTCCGACCTGTTCGATAACGACTCCCTCAGTGTCTCCACTCAAACAGCCCTGGACAGCCTTAGTGCCGCGGGGAGCAGTTTATACGAGGACTCAAAGTCAGTGGGCGGGATGTGCTTTGGAGTGCAGACTCATGAGCTAAGTCCAAACAACGTGGCAGACAACCAGACCCAAACAATGGTCTTATTAACGGACCTTGAAAACATTCTTTCAGGCGACCAGGTGCTCTCAGAGGCCTCGGCAGGCTGTGGGTCAGCTCTCAGCTCTGTCCAGGAGCAGCACAATGGGATAGACTTTGACTTTGAGGAATTCCTCAACGCTGTGCACATCCAGACGCAGACTGAAGAGAGCGAGCTGGGCGTCCTGGGCGGTGACACGCCACTGGAATCCCTGGACATTCAGACGCAGACCGACTTCCTTCTCATGGATGAGCTGGACCAAAGCGAGGGGCCGTGTCGAACCCAAGCTAGTGACCTGGAGCTGTTTGACACTCAGACACAGACGGACCTGAACTTCTTACTGAATGTCGGAGGCAGCATGCCCCTGAGCAGCATCCTGCGACATTCCAGTTTTTCTATTAGCACCGAGTCCTCGGACACAGAGACACAGACCGATCTCCCCTCACTGGCCACGGGTCTTCCCACACAGACGCACGTTGATCAGGGGGAGCATGTAAGGCTGCTAAGCAGCACGGAGACGCAGACCATGACCAGTCAGGCAGAAGGCCTGGGACACCTCTTCCTGACCAGCAACGAAACGCAGACGGTAATGGATGACTTCCTGTCAGCAGACCTGGCATGGAACATGGACTCCCACTTCAGCTCTGTGGAAACGCAGACGTGTGCCGAGCTTTATGCTCTCTTTCAAAACCCCGAAAAACCCAATAGCTGAGACCCTGTATGGGAAGCTTTCTGTGGCTTTGCAGTATATCTTTTCTGATTTCTTCCTCTTCCTTTGAGAAGAACAGGCCCACCTGGTCCTCTGGTGGACCATGATGAATATTGGAAAGAAGTCTGTGAAAATGTCCAACCATTCCACTGGGCCTTGACATCCAAAGCCTTTCCAGGAACATTCGTATCTATCCTGACAGCTTTGCTGCACTTTATTAGGTCGTGGGCATGATTTATCAGCTCTTGTGAAAGTTTACATATTTATTTGCACATAATATAAAATGTTGTATGTGTCTTGTCTAAAATGCCACATGATGAGTGTGAGGGTTTAACCACTGTGAATAGTTTGTGTTGTTAGTCTCACTGGCAGGTCAGCAGTGAGTTAACATTTCAGAAAAGGCCCATCTCTGCACAGCTTTTAGAGAATGACGCCGTCTCTGCTGTACAGACTGCAATACTGTACATTAAGATTTCATGAGTCATTTGCATGAGGCCGGCAGCACAACAACACTTGTGGCTTTCAGTTGATGGGAAAGACGTTACCAGCAAGAGCCGTTGTTTTTATATGCCCTACGCGTAGGCCATTGCTGTTGACGCACACCTCTCAAACACGCAGTTTAGACATACAGATGTGGCACAAGGACAAACTAAATGTTTCCGTCTCGTCATTTATTGCACAAATCGCATTGAATTGTTGTTGTGAAGTCAGATCTTTGTTTGTTTGTTTGTTTGTTTGTTTGTTTGTTTGTAAGTCTGGGTCAGTAGCCAAGCAGTCGGTCAGTCGGTCAGCAGGCTTGGCTGTCACCATCGTTGACTTATTCATAAATGGTGGTGGTGTATTCAGTGGCAGCGAGGTGTTGAGGCGATCCACTGGTGTTGCTGTGCAGTTTTACAGTAGATCAGAGCAGAGATTAGCACAGGCGCTTTATGTATCCATCACCCCATAACTACTGAAAGGAGTCCTGTTAGAAATCTGATTACGCCCTTTATAAGTTTTGGGCAGTGTTAGTTTTATTTTTGTGTATTTAGTGTCTTCTATTGGCTGAATTTGACATTTTGTGTTTTACATGTTAAACTGCGGATCTTCGCAGTCAGCACATAAAGGTAATTTTTTACAAGGAAACATAGGATTACAGGCCTTGTGTAACTTTTTGGGGAATCTTTGTTTTGTTGTTGCCTTAAATCCAGATATTAACCTTAGTTCTGCCACAGAGAGTTTGATTATTTAAAATAACCTTAATTGTCCATTCCTGAAAGTGAATAGATATCAAAACCTGTTAGCTCTTTACACTGCATGAGTAGTGTTTTTCATCATGGCTGCATGAAATTCTCTAATGTCCTTTGCTGCTCTCCTCCCTTTGCGTGGAGAGATTTATGTTCCCATTTTAAAATACTGCTATGCAGCATCATTACTAGAAAAATACTTTCTTTGATTCCATTCATTTTTTATGGACGGGCAGTTTATGTTGTTAAAAGTTTTAGAGGTGCTTATTGGAGCTGAATTATGTACAGAAGGTCACACTGCTCTCATAACATCTTATTTTGTGTCTTTGAACAACGCTTAAATTTGAAGATAGGTTGTTTGGAGTTCTGTACAACTCTGAGTAAAGAGTTGGCATTTCTGCCTCCTGCAGATTTAGTGGAACATGGAAAAGCCTTCCTTAAAGAATTCTACGTAGAAGCATCGTTTGTCTTAATTGTCAGTAACAGTGCTTTATTTTCTCCTGGTAACGGAGTGCATGCATGTAATTTTCCAGCACGAAATATTTGATTTAGACTAATTCGTTTCCGTTGCCTATATGTGTAGATTTAATGGATGCCTTGATTGATTGTTGAAGCTACACTTCAGAACATGTTAATAAAAATGCTGGAACGTGATTGTTGTTTTTATTTATTTAAAAACATGGAGGGAGATGGAAAAAAATATTCATGAAGTCAAATCAGTTTATTCTGAGGTATGAATTCAACACAACGGAAGATATGTTTTAATGTTTGTCTTTTTCTTTCGCTAAATTTAGACAAATTTGTTTTATACTGAACAGAAACAATGAAAACCCATTCATAGATTTCACGATAATACTGCTCTTATTCATATCTCCAATATCCAGTAGACCATCTAATTACTAATATAACTACTCTTTGTGTTCATAAGGTGAAGTACTGAGCTGCCAACAGCCGTATAAAGGGAAGAAGTAACACAGTAATTGCATTGTTGCTAGGTAACGCGATCGGCTGCAAAAGCTCTTGTTGGGAAGAAGCCAGAGCAAAATAAAGGTCAGCACAACTGATGTAGGTCTTAAAGCTGTGGTGTTTGGCTCACCCATCTGTTGGAAACGTTAGTGTGATCTGTGACATCTCAGCACTCCTGGAGATTGGAACTTTGATTCTCACATTTAGGTAGCCTTCCTCTGAACAGAGGAAAACTTTATTGTAAAGAGTAAACAAACGGAGCTCCAAGAAACCTCTTGGCACTCCTTCACACTTTTCAGTACTGTTGGTCCTTTGTAGCTTCCCTCTTGTCAAGTTTCAGTCTGCAGAATCCAAAAGGAGGATTAGCTCTACACATCGATGCCTGGTGGGAATCTGATTACTAGTAACAGTGACCGTAACCATTTAAAAGGATAAACAACATTAAGGTGCACAACGCTAAACTTTTATACACATTTATATTTAATCCTGAGAATTAATGAAACATTCATTCATTTATTGAACGGTTTTATCACTTATAGGAAGCATTTGTCCGGGAGCTCGAACAGAGCTGGACGGCACGCTGTCATGTTAGGAGTACAGGCAGCTGGGGGAAAGGTGTCGTTGGGTCATTTCCTGTAAGAGCATCTTGCCCATATTGGGTTGCACTGTCTCTGGTTTGGGAGACAGATGCGCCGGAGACTTTCTGGTGACGGTTACACGACAGGCGGGGAACAGATGAGGGTTGTCCTGACATGTCTGATAAATGCTGTCTAGGGCGGCAGAGTTAGCGTGATGGTCTGGGTTCCAAGTGTCCACTTGGGTGCCTTTGGCTCCGCTCCTTTTACCAAACATGAAAAAGGTTTCCCCAAAAGTTTCTCCATCTTGAGCTTTCTTACCCTTGCGGGTATGTCGGCTGACTTTGCGATTATGCTGTGCGGGCTGGACAGTGATCGGTGGCAAAAAAGTGAAGTTTTTGATGGGAACTGTGGTGTTGTTGGGCTTATAGCTGGACTTCTGGGGCTTAGTGAGCCCACACTCCAACACGGAGTACTTTGAGGACAGATAGTAAGGTTGCATCCCTTCTACTTCTGTCTTTTCATCGGGGAGCCAATATGCCATGTTTTTCTGAGTGTCTTTTAGGAGAGCAAAATCAGTTTGACCCCAAGATACTGTTTGCTGCTTTGGTGACGCAGGTTTTTTAAAGTTATGCGGGCCTGCATGAAACTGGCAGTGCTGCTCTGTGGGGCCGGCTGAACTGTGTGCGCCGGCTGCTGATGGGTTAACAGACAAAGGGGTCAGACTGTCAGCCTCCCTTTGCTTCGGCTTCCTCTGTGGGCTCTGAGTCATAAGTATGCAACTCAGCGGAGCGGCTCTGGCCCAACCGGAAACCTGTTGCAAAAACAAATTTATCTTAAAACATGACAACATAAATGATGTGCTTAAAGCGCAAACACATTACAAAAACAGTCTATTATACTAATTAAAAGGCATACACCAAGCATGCTGAAGCATTAGAAACACAAGTGTCATTAATGACAAGTGGAGGGACGACTGGGTAAGCCAGGCGCAAGATGATGTCATCGTAAATACTATCAAATGTTCGTCACTTCACAGGGCAGTGCCATTTATAATTGTGGCACCTTGGTTTTGTTGCAACAATAAGCTGAAATGTGACACTGGAAAGTGTAATTTATTAAATATACATGATCTAAACATCAGAAATGTGAGATAAGGTACAAGAAAAGATCATGTCAATTCTAGCATGTTTCATGGGATACAAGTTCACAGAGTAACAGAGGGTGAGTTTGAAGCATCATGATTATCAGAACCTGAACAATAACTGCTAGATGAGACAGGACTTTAAGGGAGAGAATTTGCTTGAGAATTTGGAAAAGTTGGTAGTCAGGTTTTATATTTTGTGGAGAATTGGACAAGGCAAAAAAACACTAAACCTAAACAGGCTGACTTTTAAAGAATGGCTAAAGGAGAAAACAGTCTATGTTCTGAAGAGGTCAGAGGTCATGCAACTGACATGTTAGGGGCCTGGAGAGACCTGTTCATGTGAAGAAAATCTTCCAATTAGACACAAAAAAAACCTGACATGCATGCACAGGACCTCTTCTTTTTTCTTCAGACTGACAACAGCACTCCTCCCCAGCTCTACCTCAGCGTGAGTCAATAAGATCCATGAGACACTTTTGTGTCCTATCTCATCTCTAAACTCTGTAGGGTTTTTACTATCTCCTATTTCTGTTCATGTCATCCCTCTTCTGATGTAATTTATCCAAGTATGAGCACAAAACCTGATTTATTTATAAGTACTTGTGCAGTTCTGATGTACTGTGTCATGCCTCAGCCTTTTTTCTCTCTTGGTTTCTTACGTAAAAGTGGCATCTTGAAAGTCACTCATACTTCTTTTGATGCTTCAGCCAACAGCAGACAGCTCAAACACGGAACCAGATGCACCTCACCGATCCTGTGGCAGGTATTTGCCAGATTTACTTTGTGCTTTCTTAATAACGTTGCTTTTAGATGTTGTGTATCTACTGTATTTTTTGCTCTGATTTTTCCTCTTTGTTGATCTACTATTCAATATCGGTCAAACTGTTCTATTTTGGGCATTTTTCCAAAGAAGAAAATAAAAGCACAAATGTTTTTTTAATTTGCTAGAACATAATTTTACTAATAATAACTTGCTAAAAGACACAACCGAAAAGTGGTCATTGGGTAAACTTCCACATTTTTACATAATACAAGTTCATTGCCTCATCTAATTCACAAGACAATAAATGTATCTAAAAATAGTCAGAAACAAGGACTGGACTCAAATTCCATTAAAATAGAAAATAAAAAAAACATAAAATCCAAACATCCAAACATCCAAAGAAATGTTGTTGTTTTTTAAAACAATTTTCCCCATTAATTGAAAAGTCTGGCAATTTTGACACTAAATATGAGGAAATGAGGGCTGATTCAAGACTTCTGCCTTCTAAATGTAAATGTTCTTTTTATAGGACGGTTAATTAGCTTGCAAAATTAGGATTTACTTACAGCTTCTTCCACACCGGAGTAGCAAACGTACGCACAAGGCTCCAGCTCTCTGATGAAGTCCTCCTCACTGATGTCCAGGAGGTCATCGACATGTCTCCTCTCTGGAGCCCTCAGGAGCTGCGGGCTGACCGCCTCCTCTGAAGGCTCTTCTTCTTGCTGGGTCTCCATATCGTAAAAGCTTGTGATGATCTCTGCAACAGAAAACATGCCGATCTGATATCCGGATCACTCACTTTAACCTATTCCTATAAAATAATAGAAAAATTACGCACATCCCAACATGCCAAATTAAAGCAAACAAAACCCTCATCCATGGTTCCCAAACTCACCATTCATAAACGCTTCCCTGGTGCTTGTTTGGATTTAGAAAAGGTTGTTTTTTTTCCCTCAACAGAGGCGGAAGAAGCTGTGAATGCCTTCACATACGAGCTGTTAGCACCGTCGTCATGGTGACCGGAGTGTTCACGGGGAAAAATGTGACGTAGAGGAAGAGGAGGGCAGCCGGCTTCTGCAGCAGCTGTCACAGAGCTGCCATCCCCTAAACCTGGAGCTACGGGGTGCCCCCCAACATCACGTGACTGACGCACTGATTACGTGATGTAAACCAAGAATATAGTATCCTCATATTCCTGCAACTGGAGACCCTGTTTAAGACCCAATGCAGAAAAAAAATGCAAAAAAATCCAATAGCCGGCAAATAATCTGGATTTTTCTCTTCTTCTGTGTAGCCTGCTGTGGTGCGTTCAGGATCTTTTGAAATGTTACAGCGTGAAAAGAGGAAACCGGCTTGTTTATTACCTCAGAAGGAGGAGACCATTTTTGGTTAAATGCAACGTTACCTCCTGCACGTAGGCTGCTGCTGCCGCGCGCCACGGAGGACCAGGCGCGCGACAGGCTGCGTGACGCACGCCCGGCTCTTTAAACGCACTGGAGGAAGCGCGTATACGACAGTCTTCTTTTTTTGTGTCGAGGGTGACCCCCGTTTTTTCAAGCGCAAAACTTGCAAAAAAGCTGCCGTAGAATAAGAGTGCGCTTTATTGGCGGAGAGTCAGCTTCTGACGCAGTCCGGTGCACCTATCCGCGAGAGGCACACTGCCACCTGACGGCTTTATCGCCTGACGATCCGGTATTTTCCATCGCGGACCCTGGGCTTCTGCAGTGCGGGGTCTTTGGCGTTTTATGGAAGCGGACACGGAGCATCCTGCCGCGGTCATGCTGCCCCCGAAGAGCTGCCTCCCCCGGAACTACAGCTGCATAGCCGGGCTGTTCGGGAGCCTGAGCGCCGCAAACCCCCGGCTAGAAGATGCGGAGGATTTTGACATGATGAACGGGACGTGTGAACCCATTGACAGCGCCGTGGTGGACGAGAGGCCGCGGGGCAGGGAGATTTTCCTCAAGCCACAGCAGAGCCCCAATCTCCGCCGGAGGTGCAAATCTCTGCCCACGCCCACGGAGAGAGCGAAGTTGGAAATCGCCCGCAGAACAAGTCCAACAAGTCAGAAAAAAGTCCGGTTCGCCGACTCTCTGGGCCTGGAGCTCATTTCCATCAAGCATTTCAATGATGCGGATGACCCGGAGGTCCCGGAGCGCATCCTGGCCAAACTGCCCAAAGGGACCTTCCATCAGTTGGACACGAAATTCCCTCGAGCCCCCTCACAGTCTGTGTTCATGGAATTGCAGTTCACAAACCCAGGAACGCTACCCGGCTTCCAGCAGAAAGTCAGAGAGGTGAAGGTCCTGCTGGAGACCGTGGAAGCGGACGAGTTCAACCTCTCCGGGTTCGTGCGCGTCCTGAATTTGGCTTTCGAGAAGAGCGTCTCTCTGCGCTATTCTCTCAACAACTGGATAACGTTCATGGACAGCCTGGCCACCTATGTGCCCGATTCAAGCGACGGCGTCACCGATAGGTTCTGCTTCAAGATTGTCATGCCAACCTACCTCGACAACGGAGGCACGTTGCAATTCGCGATTAAGTACTGTGTCGGTGGCCAGGAGTTCTGGGACAATAATAATGGGAAAAATTACAAAGTGAGGCGTCACCAGTTCAACATTTCTCCACCTCGGGAATGGGAAAACGGTTGGATTCACTTTATCTGAGCATAGTCGTCTTTAGAGGCACATTCCCTCTGCATTTTGCGTGCAGTTGATCCCCGGGTACCTCGCTTATGACTAAAGCCTGTTAAAAATTCGGATCGTATTTGCCATTGTCAGTTAGACTGGTGCTTGTTCCATGACACCAAACCCGTTGCCCTGCTGTAATAATACACTGAGTGTATGATAGGCTCCCAGTGGGTGGGATGTTGTGTGATGTTGCCTTGATATCTGGGCTCGGTGCCCTTTGGGAGGGCATCCTCACATCTTTACGCAACGTGCCACGGAAAACGTGCAGGGCCATGCCAGCATCAGACTCCGCGACTCGTTTCAGAGGAGGATGTAAAATGATTTGGATGGCATTTCTAACATTATCACTGTGTTTTTGCCAGAGTGCAAACAACGCCTGGTTGCTTGTTTAGCGTCATCCTCCATCAGCCTGCTGGGAAACGCACACTTACTGTGAAAGACGGTGTGCCTAAAATGAAGATTCATTTAAGAGTTAGTATTTCCCTCTGTCATTTCATTAAAAATGCCTTATTCTGCTAAATGATGTAAGACGTTATAAGCCGAGTATCGTGCGATATTTTCTCCACCAGAATAGAAAAAACTGATATATAGATAGATATAATCGTTTCCCTTATGTTTGTAAACATCCAAGAATAGCATATAACCTGCCTTTATGCCACAATATGCAGAATTCCCACGAATCATCCCCATTTTCTGCAGAAGTGATACAGAAGGGATGAAGTATTTTCCATATTCACATTTAAAAGTCTACAGTAAAACCAAAGTCAAATGATAATTTGCAACTGGATTTATACATCCACAACATAATTTATCAGTAGCAGTTCATAATGCCACAAACCATAAAGGTGGTCCTTGTAAGGAATGGGTTTCATTAATGTCATAGTTTGATTGTTTTCAGTGAAAGTGCTCCTACAAAACAGCGGTTGTTCCCTCTAGGAAGGTATATTTAGTAGCTGTTTAAAGGGTTCATTTGACCTCACGTTACTAGTGGGTTTTTTCTCTTCTTCAGGTATGTAATAGAACAGATGTTATTTACACAGTAAATATTTTTTACATCCAAAAACAGAAGTATATTATTTTACCTGCACACGTTTGAAACAATGCTTAAGGTTCTTTGTTGCACTGTGTTACTCTGTGTTTTCCTCAGAGGTTTTCTGTCTCTAGATAAAGGAGCTATTACAGATGACTATGTTTTTACTGGTTTCTGCAGCTGCAAAGGTCTTGATATATCTCAGCGTAACTGTAGCCCTGCTCCTTAAACTCCATACAAATGACCAAAAAAGGGTTATGCCACTGGCTGAAAGTGACATTGTTGAAACACATTTCATTTTCATACTTCAGGCACTGACTGGTGTCTTTAAAACAGCTTGCCTCTACATCTAAAAGGTTTTTTAGTTGACTCCTTTCTGATTTTGCAAAACCATGCTTGTACTTGAATGCTGATGAACTCCTATCCACCCATATGTTAATATTAATGTTTGTGCACAAGACAAGTCTCCAGAAACCAAAAGACCAACAGGTAGCATGCTCTCTATCTCCCCTGTTCTGACTGTAATCAGAACATTACCTTGGCCTTTGTTACATCTCTGTGGCCTCAGAGGGGAGCTTTCCATTTCATGAGGTTGGTATTTAGATGGAGGCTATTCCTGTAACCACTTAGTTTTGGAGCAGTTCCACTGTGATCACATCGTTAGAAAATGGCTCACATCACACCACAAGGGTAAAGCTGACGATTACTCCTCATGAGGTGAGAAACAATATGGATATTAGCAATAGCTTATAGCTTTGTGACATACAAAACTGCATTCGTCTCATCTGGTCAGGTCATGGCAGAGCTTATTGTATCTTATATTGTCAATATATCTGTAAACTTGTCCGAGTATCCATGCAGTACGATATCAGACATCACACATTATTAAGGTTGGGGTGACTTATGCGTGCACAGGGGGCTGCAGCAATGCTAAATAATCCATACCAATACAACATGGGATTTGAAAAGTTAACACCAGTGTTGTTATGATTACCTTTCTGTTGTTCCGTCGAGCTGAATGACTATGTAAGCTTTTAAAAATCATGAAATTATAGCCACAGCTCATTTACCATTTAATTCGTAAATGACCAATTTCAATGTCATTTCTGGGAGAAAGTGTCAAATTGCCCCTTGGAGTGACTGTAGGTTTGGGTGTCTGTTTGTGTCTGGGTGGGCTTATAATGGACTTTTCAGGGTTTACCCCAGTGTCATCTGGGAAAGGCTCCATACCCACTAGTATACTCCACTAGGAATACGTGTTATGGACAACTGATGGATGGAAAATCTGGTTTTAGCACTGTAAACCCTCCACAGTGCAGGGGCATTGGATGCAGCCTAATTATAAAGACAACGAAAGGCCTGTGCTCTCATGAGATATTCACCTGAGTGTACCCATAAAAGTTTGCATCACAACACATGGATGTATAGATATGTATGTAAATGTGTCAATGTTTAATCTTGAATGTCTTCCTTCTGCTGTTCTGTGTCATGTGTATTTTAAAACGTTGTGAAGCAGTTGTAAGTCTGATTGGTTTAACTTTGTTTAGCTTACGATCCTGTGATGTTAAGTCTTCAGATAAACATTTACATGAGGCTGCTGTTAGATTAGTAAGATTGCAGCTGTAATGTTTGGTCTGTATTCTATGATTATATATGAGTTTATTTTCCTTCTTTGACATGTGCCAGTATTTGAGCAGTATGTTTTAAAGCCCATGTGCACAACTGTTGGTGTACACTGCCTTACTAAACATTAAGTCCACTTAGGCACATGTAAGTGAGGTGGTAAATGGCAAGTGCTTCTGTGCTGAGGAAAGATGTGATTGTAGAAATTGTGAATTCTGGATGATTTTGAGGTACTTATCAGGGAGATAGTCAATGTGAGATAAAGTTTGGTCTTTGATAATGTTTTGCATGATAACCTTACGATTGTAGCCGACACTGAGCAGATTCAATCCAAGCACGTCCAATGCAGAGAAAGGAAAGAGCAAAAGCTTCTGCTATAGACAGCTTCTACAAAAGCGTTTTCCAGACTTTGGCACATCCTACTACTTTTGTCTCTCACCATGGAAAGCTAATATATGTAATAATTTACGGCATATTGTTTGTGAGATGTTTTGTTATTACTATGCAACCCCTTTTGTTTTACAACATCCGCACTGTGAGATGTGATGATGTGATTTTTAGCCAGATTTTAAGCCACGTTTTGCATGTACACCTTAAACATACCCATATTTTCATGTTTAGCTTTTACTGTAACCTGTATTTTGTTAAGAAGAAAACTATTGTTAATAAAAATCTTTATGATGGAAGCTAATCGTTGTTTTCCTCAAGATCACCATGACCATCTAATTTCCTAAATGAATCTAGATTTATTAATACTGTCATTGAGTTTGGCTGCAGTTCCCTGTAAGGTGTCCTACCAGTTGGTCATTCATGCATTTAATTTTCATATATCAGCTGTTTCCGTCCATAAAACAGCACACTGCGGTCTCCGCCATTGTGCGCCTGCCTGCGGACATGCCACTGAATTGATTGCTGCCTGACACAACCCTCCTCTGTTTACAAAGGCCTGGTGCAAGCTCCAGGCAGGATAAGAGACGTTTATTGCTGGGCAAAAGCAAGATAAGAAGGTCATGAAAGAACATGTAAATCCTACTGAAAATATTAAGTGTCATCTTTTTGGGCTTGTTGCAACAACGACTATACTAATGTAAAATGTAAATGTACATGCATTTATATAGCGCTTTTGCAGTCATGCTGACTACTCAAAGCGCTTTACACTACGTGTCATTCACCATTCACACACACATTCACACCCTAATATGACCCCACCCATAATTCAGATCTGCAGATTCCCCTCTCAGTGCAAAATGATATAATGAGCAGGGCTCCCAATTCTAGCACCATGCGTGAGAGACTTTGACTTCTAAGTTGTGTTATCTCTCTTTCCCTTTCTAGTTTCGCAGTTCCTGCACCGAACCAATGCATCTTGTAATTCCATTTAATGTCCCTGGATTATTAATTGAAGCTGCTTCAGTTTTCAAAGGTTTTGCTGAAGGGATTGAGCTGGGAGTGCTGTAAATATTTAAAATGCTACTTTTGGCATGCTAAACCCATCAGCTTTCTTCTTCTACAGTTCGCATCATGTGTGAGAAAATGTTTTTTTGCACCTCTGGAATAGCTTTAGAAGGAAATGCTGTCCAAATTTAAGTAGATAATTTCACCATCTCTGTTTATTAATTTTTTTTAGCTTAGCTACTTGTTATCAAGCTGGGTTATCCCTTTATAAATGCATTTGTATTTGGTTCCCAGCAGTCTGGCTGGACTTTGGGTCTTCTACACTCCCCCCCGACACATAGACTCAGCACAATTAGTTAAATTGCAAACACAGATAAATCCAGTCAGTCTGAGTTCTGCAACAGCCGCTTATTGCCAAACACGCTCCTTTATGCTGTGATGGTGGTGTCAAAGGTTGACTGACCTCATGGTTGATGGCCAGCAGCTTGTTTAGTGCACTCTTCTGTGCAACCACCACATCTGACTCCAGCTTCATCCAAACCACAGAGCCCACACATCTGATGCGGGCTCTGATGAGGGGATGTGGACTCCCTGATGAGGGATGCAAAGGAACCAGACGTCTGTCTAGTCCCCTTTGCATCCCTCTTTAGAATTTTACATCCCCACACCACACCATAGAACCACAGACGGGGAGAATATCTCAGAAATAATTTAAATAAATCACATTTCACTGACCAGACCTGGAAGAGCAAGATACATAAACTAGCATTTAAGCTTGTATCAGCCTCTCTTCCTAGTTTGCAAAGCTTCCCTTTTAACTAATAAAAAAGTAATAATAAACATGTTAACAAGCTTAGAAACTCAGTCTTTATTAGACAGTTAAGTCAACATAAAACTGCTGTACTCAATGAATGGTAAAGGTCATATTCAGGATGTTTGTAATTTCGATGCTTATCCAATATTTCCGGTTTTATCAAAGTAAAGCTTTGAGAAGTTTGTGTTGCCTTCATTTAAAGAAGTCGAGTAAAATGTGGGTTACTTTACAGTTGTTAATTAAACATCCTGACATTTTGGAACAATTCTGCTGACCAGCTTCCTACTTTTGCAACCATTTGGTGGAAATCCATATGACCAGTGAAGGAAAACCTGCTCTGAGACTCTCATTTAATTCTGTGATCAGTGATACTCAGCTGCTTGCTCCATGTGGAAAATTGTGTAGCTCCCAAAAATACAGATTGAAAAAGTTTAATGTTAATGTCAGTGAGAAGTGAAGTGGGAAATTAAGACATGCACAGTTTGATTTGATTGTATTGTGAATCATTGGTCTCTGACTCTTGCGCCTGTCTGGAAGATGCATTGGATATATTATCACCCAGTCGTCCCATGGTAAGGTTGACTTTTGCCATGTTGGAAGTGTTTGCAGGTCACATGTAAAAAAGAAAAGAAAAAAAACTTAGAGCATGTGTCCGACCAAAGTCTATGGCTGTCTGTGCAATTGTCAAGTAAACAGACAACACTCTCTTTGCTGTGTAACAACAGCTGCTTATGTAACGGCTGTTCTCATCTGGTGATGCCTCTCTGACCGTTTCCCCCTTCGGGTTTCACACATTATCACACTGTGATCACAGACCCGTGGCTATTTTAATTGTGCCTGCACAGCTTCTTTCCCCTCATAACCTCAAATGTCCATCTGCCCCCTTAGGAAGGTGCATGACAATGGTCACGATTTAAATTGAGACCTCATCTCAATCTCAGATCTGAATGAGTCATTCTTGTAAAATACCTTCAACAAGTATGGGAAATGCTTTATGTCAACTGTGAACGTCTGAGATGGTTTCCATTAAATCTTATCAAAAATTAATCACGTTACCACATATAAATGCGCTTTTACTTACTTGCAGGCGACAGTGAATAAAAATAAAAGGCATCACAGCAGTCTGTTCTAATCAAATTGATTGTGTTCCCTCCACCTTTCCTTTTCTCCAATTTGTCTCCCCTGCCCTTAACTGAAAAAGGATTATTTATGAGAAAAAGGGATGGCTTGCTTATCCACAAGCCATATTTGGACAGGGTAACTAAACAACGATGGAGTCTTCACTGGAAATACTTTCCCACTTAAAAACTGGCCTTGTGCCACAATTGCGTACTTTGCTTTAAATATACCCACAGGACATTATTCTAAACTCCTTTTAGAGATAAAGTATATGCCCAAGTTTATTTACAACTAACTAGAATTACTTCCTGGGGCAGTAGTGGCTGCCAAGAGCAGCTATGAAAGGACACACATAGACTGGAGGAGCCATTGATCATTATAATCCGATAAACTTCATGTTGCAGGTGGGAAACTAAGTTATCTTGTCTTTGAACCATGACTGTTTCATTTTCAATGATGTGTCAGTGCTCATCACTTCTGCACCCCTGCTCAACAGAAGAGGCACCTCAATGCCTTTTAACTATTTATATGATTTTGCTTCTAAAATTTAAATATGGAATTAGATATATTAGTTGTTTAGTTTATTGTTGAAAAGCTATCAATGAGCAGGCTGATCTACACTGGATACTCTAGATTTGTGAAGGATATGTAAAATGCCTTATACTGAAAATTTGAAATTATTTTAGAAGCTGACAGAAATTAAATGTGTTGTCTGTTTTCACAAAGAGTGCCTACAAAGAGCTGTACAAATACTTTTTAGTATGCTGTGGATATTTCACCATAACCCAAAGAGCCGACAGACCTTATATAATAAAGCCCTCCAAGTGCAGACTCATATGAGAACAGGAGGAGTTATTCCACATGGAAATATAACTTTGAATAAAACAAAAGGTGGAATATTACATCTCAGCCCTACCCATTTTGACCCTTTTATATTTTCTGGCCTGCCTTGCTTTTATTTAAACAATACAATGATTTATATTTCCCATTTGCATCGTAAGCATTTCTGCTGCCATCAAACAAGATATTTTACTATCGAATCTGTTCCTCTACTCTTGACCCTCCCGAACGTCCTTCTGGACTCTTCTGCTTCTTCAAAAACACAACAAGCGTTCAGACTACTGCATACACAGTAAATTTTAAGCACTGGCACCACTGAAGAACTCTCAGGAAGAGGCACCCTCATAAATAACCCACACATCCAGACTATTTTTATGCTCTCAAAAGCACACTGAAATTCAGACAAGCAAACAGGAAAAAAAGAGCATCATGAAGCATCAGAATTTTAAATCGCGTGAAGATTAAGGCTCACATGGTAAGATCATGTGTTTAAGGAGATAATCAATTGACCATTTAACATCTCAGTTTTGACAACGCCATTTTATCACAAGATAATCTTCTTAATGACTGAACGTTTGTTTTGTAACCAGTCAATATATGTGACAAAGTTAGTCATTGATCAGTGAGGGGTGTCCGAATGGTTGAATGGACATGCGGTCAGACAAGGTTTCTCCTGTGATGAGGGACAATGACCATCTTGGCCCATTATATGGAAAGGAAGCAGTGCCAAATTACACAAATGACTTTTTCCCCTTCACCCAAGTCCAGCAATCCAGATTAAGTAACAGGAAGGGAGTACTCCTACAGGTCCAAGAACGGATATTAAAACCTTCACTGTGTCATCATGCCATCTTACTCAAATTAAAGTCACCTCATGTATTTTGTAATTGTGATGTTCTCACTTTCAGTCCTGGTTGGCTCATATCCACACACCTAAATTCTAGCAAATCTAAATAAATCTGTTACATTGTTACAGAACAGCTACGTAAAGTTGTAATAAGGATTACTTTGTAGCTGGGGTCTCATTTTGCAACAGTAAATAAATCGAAACTACACTTTTGAGGGGCTGCATGGGGTTGACCACACTCATGACACTGCTTAAACACTTTCATTGTGCTACAGCCTAATCTGAAAGGGCACCATAGAGCCCTGTCTTTTTTTATCTTTCTAAATAAGGATCAGCTAAATATAGATAAAGAGTCAATTCATTAAATAAAGTTATAAATAAACCAAAGATGCATGGATTTCTAGTGCCTGTGTGTGGTTGTATATGTGGTCAGAGGGTTGACTTTAGCAGCTGATTGTGGCCTCCTTATCGTTGTTAGCCTTGTGGGGAAATAATGGGAGTTTGGTGAGTGATGTCACTGTCTGCCACCCCCACCCTCGCTTCAAAATAAATTCCCCTGTCTCCTGTGACTGTGCAGTGCCCAACGCGTGAGAGATTCAGCCAAATGTGACCTCTGTCTGCACAGATTTTTGTCAATGGGTGTCTCTCCTCACAGATAGATGCAGCAGC